ATGATTAATTAAGCACAGGGACAGCTTTGCCTTTATTGACAGCCAATCACCTGAAGGCAGGACAAGAGCCAACTGCAAATGTCAAATTATCTCAGATACTGGACAGTGTCAAACCTGATCTCATTCTAATGAATCAACCATTGTTACACGTCTTTAAAGTTTTGTAACGCCTTCATAACACCTGCGTTTATTTAAAACATTGATTTAGTACGGAATTTGAAGACCTTTGCAGCGTCTGTTTCTCCAAAGTTGAAAGTTTGCACAACCATCATCATTGCGTTGTCACTGAAAGTATTGATTTACAAGGTATAACATCAGGGTACCCTCCACTGGCATGACCTCCTTACAGAGATGTAAGAAAATGGATTTATTTGGATAGAAGTTTCAGTATACACATTACTTTTCATGCGCATGATAATGACTTAAGATCTGAAATTTGTTGTAGGGGAAGGTTAAGTCATCAAACTTCTCAGATTATTTTGCATCCTAAAAAAAATGCTGGTGACCTTTGAGGTCATGTTTTAAAAAAATCAGAATCCAGCATTTATTTAAATAAATCATTTCTTCAGAATTATTGGGTTTTTGGATTTTCTCCATCGTCCGTTATTCCAAGAACTGGAAAACGTGACATTTCAGAAATCTGTCCTCGGGTAAGGAGGGGTAGGACACACCTGCTCTGTTGGGTCTCTTAGAAAGAGCTAACCTCAATCACTGGAATCATTCCTTGTTAATTTATTTCCACTGTAAAAAGCAAAAAGGTAAATGTATCCCCGTAACAGGCCGTGGAGGCTTGTAGGGTTGTGAGAAGTGAAGGTTCCCACATTTTATAGACAATCGATTCACAGATGGCGGTAAGGTTATCAGCCTTACGCGCCGGCCACCCTTTACCCCCAGGAAGATTACACATTTCTGTTAAGAGGCTGAGTCAACCCAAGGACCATAGTGTGGCTAGAAGTATTAGATCAATTGAAAAATCCAATGACCTCATCAGGATTTGAACCTGTGACATTCCAGCATGTAGCATTGTACCTCAGCCGACTTTATAACATATATTTATGATATAAAAGCCATGAATGCTTGGCTCTTGTATGTCAATAAATGATGAATCACTTGTTTTACACTGGTCTTCTTAAAAAATACAGACCATACGTCCAGTGTTTCTAAGTGAGGTATCTTGTGTCTAGTATGGAAAGATCAAAGGTTAAGTGTTGCTGATCTTATTAATTATGTGATCAAGTGAAAGGCACTTCTCTGAAATGAGTGTGTTCTTTTCTTAATTTGATCCTGTACATAATTTACCATATGCTATAATTTGATTCATACATTGTCTAATAATTCATTATCAGTTGCAGAGGATACGTTTAGAACTTCAATACTTCTGCTTACATTGTCCTTATTAAAGTGAGAGCCAGGACAGCTCAGTGTAGTTATTATGCCGTGGTGACACGGGCCGTGGAGGTAACCCTCCTTGCCACCACTTATTATTATTCTTCTCCGACAGGGGTGGATTGGTTGTCTCACCGCTGTCACTATCTTGTTAGGCCTAAGGGGGCGGGGGTTCAAGTAAATTTACAATCACTGACGTAGCTGCCGCCTTGGCATGAGTTTGCAATTCTCCTACGGGATCGGGAGATGCAGGAGCATTCACGGAGGAGGGTAACACTTGAGGGGAGTCTAAGTTCAATTAACATCACAACGTATTTCTATCCTACTCTATTCACCTATGTCGCTATATTGAATTGAATTGAATTTATTTACATTCTATAAATCCTAAGCAGGTTAGTACCTTTGGATACAGAACAAGTCAAAATGTTACGTACATAAGTACAGGCAATTTTAGCTTAAAAATTAATATAACTTAATTTTACATCATTCTCTATTTACATTGAAGTATTCATCTAAAGAGCAGAAGGAATGAGCATGTAGATAATTCTTTAACTCTGATTTAAACTTTTTAGTATCACTGCCCAAGTTTTTAATACTTTGTGGCAGATTGTTGAACACTTTTATGCCAGTAAAGTAGACTCCTTTTTGATATACTGATAAAGTTGATGAGGGTAGGTGGAAGTTATATTTTTGTCTAGTATTCATGTTATAGACATCAGAATTTAATTTGAATTTATCTTTGTTGTAAACAACAAATAGGAGAAGCGATAATATGTATTGCGATTGAAGCGGTAGAATTTTTAATTTCTTAAATAATTCTCTACATGAATCTCTACTTCTACATCCTGTAATGATTCTTATTATATTCTTTTGTATTTTAAAAATTATTACACTATGTGAAGAGTTCCCCCAAAATATTAATCCATAGTTCATAATAGAATGAAAGTAGGCATGGTAAACCATCTTCAATGTTTCCTGTGACATAAAAGGCTTAATTGATCTCATCGCATAGCAAGCTGCATTTAATTTAGGTATAATTTGTTCAATATGTATTTTCCAAGACAGTGTACTGTCTACATGTATTCCAAGGAATTTTGTATCAAGTACTTTACAGATTAATTTGTTGGCATAACTGATGTCCAGATCAATTTGGTGGTTGTTTTTAGTTGTGAATGATATGTAATGGGTTTTATCAAAATTTAATGAGAGTAAATTGGCTTCGAACCATCTGTTTAAGGCTTCAAATACAATATTTATGTCATTTTTAAAGTTGTCAAATTTAGAGTTCTTAAATATTATACTAGTGTCATCTGCATATAGAATTGGTTTAGATTTATTGTTGATGGTTTTAGATAGATCATTTATGTAGAGAAGAAAAAGTAAGGGACCTAAAATTGATCCTTGTGGAACACCGTGCTTTATAATTCCCCAGTTTGAAAATGCATTATGACTGGAGTTTTTATTATTTATTTCAACTCTTTGATACCTGTTTTTGAGGTATGATTTGATCCATTCATTAGCTTTGCCAGTTATTCCATAGAAATTTAATTTCGATAGTAAGATATCATGATTAACACAATCGAAAGCTTTTGCTAGATCACAGAAAATCCCTCCCACAATTAATCTGTCATTGAGAGCACTTAAAATATCGTTAGTTAGTTCATAGGTTGCTTTTTCTGTTGTTAGGTCTTTCCTAAATCCAAATTGCTCTTTGACTAATATGTTGTTAGAATTTAAGTGTTCAAGTAGTCTATTATACATAACTTTTTCAAAGACTTTTGAGAATGAAGTCAATATGGATATTGGTCTGTAATTAGAGATGCATTTTCTCTCTCCTTTTTTAAAAAGTGGTTTCATTACAGCGTATTTTAAGCGTTGAGGAAAAGTACCTGATGATAAAGATTTATTACATAGATGATTCAAGGGTGAACTGATGTAAACAGAGCTTGCTTTAAGTAATTTGGTAGAGATTTCATCATATCCATGTGAATTTTTGGGCTTAAGGGATTTAATAATGTTTTCAATTTCCTTCCTTGTTGAGAATTTGAGATTGATATTTGGAAATAAATTGTTAAAGGCACGAGACAGATAGTATATTGGATAATAATAATAATACATAATATATAATAATATAACATAATATATACACACTTTGCCGACGTTTGTCGGTTCGCATTGCATTTGGGTTATTATCCTGTAGCACCACATTAGTCCTACTCCTGTCACCCTGCTATTGGGTATTCTAAGCCCCTGTCTCGCTTTCTCAGAAAACCTAGTCCATCTAGTCTTCACTTTCTCTCCCTGGCGTTTGCACTTTAATATTATCACACTTAATGTTCATGGCTATATGAAGTAAGTCTACTTACGTGAGCTAAGAAACAGGCCGCCATCACCAGCCAACAACTACTCATCGACATCACTCTCTCGGCGATAGCCTACGGCTGACTCTTTGACAAGTAATAATATTAAAAAGTTTTTTGGTTGATTCCTCTAGAGTTTATGTACAATCTTTTTGCTGACTCGCTGGGTTCTGGGGGTGTATTCACCCGCCCATTCTGACGTAATTTTGGTTCGGTGTGGGCCACTCATTGGCTGTTTATCGAAAGGGGGCTGGCTCTTTCAGGTCTACCGCCCTCTCCGACTCAGCGTTTTCCTCATCCCATAGTTTTTATGACCCACTTCATATAGCTTCTTCCTCAATGTCAGCGTTAATACGCTGTCGTGCTAACATTCTGATTACAAAGCGATTGCCACACCACTGGCGTTATACTTCTGTGCAAACTCCTGCTTCCTGGTACATTTCATTATTTCTATTTCTTAATCTTTAAAGTCTAAATACCCTTATTCCACATTACCCCAAACCATATCTACTTGTACATAACCCTTGGGTCATAACAGTAGTGACTAGTCTGCTGGCTGGATAACTAAGGAATCAATTTGAGGCAGGGGAAGAGATTTTCTCTTCTCCATGTAGTCAAGACTGGCTTTGGAGCCCACCAGTCCTACTTTGCATTGCATACTAGGAGCTCTTTCCCTGAGGGTAAAGTGCCCAGTGCATAAAGCTGACCGTCTACCTGCATCTGGTGTTGAGGTTAAGAGAGCATGGAGCTAAACCTCTACTCCCTCACATGTGTCCACCAAACAAAAAAAAAACTCCATGATTTTAATCCGCAAGCAAACTATACCGACCAAGTGACCACCAATTGTCGGTGAAGTTAGTGCCAGCTTTTACGGATAGAGGGTGTTGTGTGGTCAGCGCAACAGCCGTTAATTTCGGTTTTCTAGACCGGAGCCATTATTTCCTTGAAATAGCTACTCAATTGTCATCACGAGGCTGAGTGGACCCCTTTCCAGACCCATTACTTCTCAGAAAAAAATCTGATACCGCCGGGAATCGAACCAGGACCTCTGGATTTGTAGCCAGAAACGCTGAGACTAGATCACAGAGGCGGTCCATGGTGCTTAATTAAGCAGAGGAACAACATATTTACTTTCCTATTACAATAATGTTGTGTTCCTTGAAGCCTGATTAGTGTAGTGTCCTCAGCATGTTTAAATCAAGCTCAGATCATGTGCCTTCATGTATTTTTCTCTGCAATATTCTTTTTTGATAGGTAATGAAATGTGGCCTATAACAACCTGTGGAATTAATCCTAGCAGCAACGTGACTGTTTGCATGAGCACTTCAGCAGTGAATAAGTAAACGAGCTTCTGTTATTCCTTCTCTGTTATCTCTCATTACACATTCCATTGCTTGACAACCAGGAGCTACTCAAGTCACAGAGTGTTCAAGATGCTGAACAGAAGAACCAGTTTGCTTCATACTTTCATCTGTGTAACTGCGACAGCACTTCTTGTTGCTGGATGCAGCAGTTACATTTATGCACAAGGTATGTTATTTTTGTTCTACACTTTTAACTCCTAAATCATTGTCCATCATTCAGTTTTGTTGGACCATTGTGATATATTCATGCCACCCAGTATATTTTTAAAGTATTTAATTCCGGGAAGTTAAAATGAACGACCAAGCCACATATCCAGTTCATTGTAACAAGAAATGTGTGCAGAATTTGAGCAAGGAAATTTGTTGGAAAGCAGCCTTTAGGCTGACTTAGAGGCATATGTGAGGATCATTTTAGGATGGATCTTAGAAAGATGTGTTATGAGGTATCAAATCCTTGTTCAGGATCTTCTCTGATGATGCACTTCAGTATCTGTAGTGTTAAATGTTCACATGTTACAGGCATGTTGATCCGCCTCAGAAGTTTACGTGGTTACCAAGTTCATATTGTTTTTTGGTACAAATTAATGAAGTATGTACATGGAATTGCATTGACTCACAGGTTTATATAGAGTTCCATGAAATTTGGATTATTAATTGAGACGTTGCTGATAAAACGTGGAATGTGACCTGAAATATATCACAAGAAATCCGAGTCTAATAATTGCGATACATGAGCCTTTGAATTGGGCGTCATATGTACTGACATACAGATTGATAGGATTTTATTTATTTATTGGGAAAAGAACGTTAAAAATTGTAGCAGCTGTATAACTCCTTGGAGTTAAAATGTTCATCCCATCAACAGTTAAATCTTACTTCTGGTCACGAATTAGAGCCACCAGAATTCATGCAGTGACACATGTTACTGGGGTCCGTTTTATTACCATCCTCCTATCTATACTTCCGTTAACAGGTGGGCATGTTCTTATGTGTTTTTTTCTTTTACATTTTCAGTTTCCATTGTCAATATTACAAGGCTAACCCATAGTATGGAGAACTTGTATTTTGTGACATTTATAATGTTTGATAGCAAAAGTAAAAAGTAAAGCTATTCTTGTAACAGGCCATGAAGGCCCATAGGGTTGTGAGACGTTTACGGTCCCACATTATCTACACAGTCGGCTCATAGATGGCGGTAAGGTTGTCAGCCTTACGCGCCGGCCACGCTTTACTCCCCATGAAAATTATTTAATTAATTCCTGGTACTCATTTCTGTTAGAGACTGACTGAACCCCATGGCCATAGTGAGGCTGGAAGGATTAGGTCAATTGAAAAAAAGTCAGTGCCCTCATCGGGACTTGAACCCGCTACCTTCCGGTTTGTAGGTTAGATGTAACATGTAAATCATGTTTATCTTTGGTTGATTTTTTCACTTTGTTATCAATCCATTTACCTCACTTAGATACTTGGAAAAGTTTGTATGGATGTGAAATGTGACAAACTTAACTAATTCCATCAGGCAGAGGCTTCGTTGATCTCAGGAACTTTATCATTAACATCAAAAAACCCCTCTGTTAAGTCCTTTTCTGAACCAGCTCAATCAAGTTCAGATTTCACAAATCATTTCTCCAGCATTCAGTTAAAGAAGTGCAACAAGGCTCATAAGATTTAGTCTTCTGGGGTGTTATACATTCTGGTTTTGTAAATAGATTCCAACATTTTGGAGTAACCTTCTGCCTCCATCTTCTGGATAGAAAAGTGAAACTACTCCTCTACCCTGAAGATGGACGTAGTCTTAATAGTCAATGCTGCAAGAACCTCAAATCTGATATGATTAGAGTTCCCTTAACTTTCACGCTTTCAGGAGCCTTCAAGGTTGCACCTGGCACTGAATGAACTTTTCACTCGAAAGTTATGAATTGTTTGGAAGCTAATAGGTTAATTATATGTCTTGTTAATTGCTGTACCTTGTTCAAGGATATATGAGCATAGAATTCACGCTTGTTCAACAGAAGGGAATGTAAAGACAAATTGTAGGTTTTCCTGCTATGGATTTTGTAGTGTAGTTGAAAAAGATAGTGAATTTACTATTGCTGAAATGAATTTACTGCTGCAGGAACATGGGGAAATGTATAATTGATGTGTTTCCTGCAGTGTAACGTATGTGTCACATCTCTGTACAAAAAAATGAAGTACTATTCATCAACTTAGTGATCATTGGGAAAGGCAGATATCATTTTTATAACCAGTGCAGTGAATGTACAGCTCATTACTGCCATATTTTAGAGTTGATTTAGGACCATTTATGGAACTGACAGTTCAAATTAAAACTTTTAACTAAATTTAAAAATTTCCTAACCTACTTCTTGATAGTGTGGCATGTGGTAGCATAGTTGAGGCACTATGCTGCAAGCGTTAAGGTCGCAGGTTAAAATCCTGTGGAGGTCATTGGATTTTTCAGTTGACCTAATCCTTCCAGCCGCACCGTGGCCCTGGGGTTGACTCAGCCTCTAACAGAAATGAGTACCAGGAATCTTCCTGGAGGTAAAGGGCTGCCGGCACATAAGGCTGACAACCTCACCGCTGTCTTTGAGTCGACTATGTAGAACGTCTAGAAAATGTGGGAATCTTGAGATCTCACAATGACATGGGCCTCCTTGGCGTGTTACAGAGGTAGCTTTACCTTTTTTACTTCTTGATAGTGGTACAACACCGATATTAGAAACATTAATTGCGTTTGTAATTAACTTAACATATATCTTGACAGTGGAATTTTCTTATATCAGAAACTCTAATTACATTTAAAACTAACTGAATTTCTTTGATATGGCATTTCCTTTATATCACAAACTTTTAAATTTATAATGAATCTGACCAACTTTTTAAAATCAGAACTTTAATTTAACATATCTAATCAAATGTACTTAGTTGTGGCATTCTCTCCATACTAGATGTCAGTATTGTACTGCCATGACTTAGGCTGTGCTCATTTATTTGACACGCTTATATACTTAAAGTATTTAGTATTGTTATGATGTTAATTATTCTTATATACAGTAATGTACATATTCTAGTTCATACATTTTAATTCTCTTAGATCCTACATTCTTGATGTTGCTGTTTTCATGTTTTATGATATGTCTTTGTATTGAAGAAATGAAAACGCGCCGTTTCAAGTAGGGACGTTATGCAGCGACAAGTGAAATGATAAATGATGACCATTTGAAAGGATAAAGTAGTGGCCTATTTTAAGGTACTGTTGTGCCAGCATTTTGTTGGAGAGCATGAGGAACACTACAAAAAGAACTCAGTCAAGGTAGTTGGTTATTTAACAATGATTTCAGTATCCAAACTACATAGCATTCATGATAGGATGGTTAATGAATGTGGAGCGGTTGGTGGAATGAAAATTGGCAGGGGAAAACAAAATACTCGGAAGACCCTCACCAGTGCCACTTTATCCCACATGACCTGACTTAGGATCAAACCCAGGTTTCCATAGTGTTAGGGTAGCTGGAAGTTGAGACAGAGTACCTCCAAAATAAAAGTGTAGAAAGTTCTTTCTGTGCTAGCTGCTTATTATTTTAGATGACAGCCTTTAACTTGAAGTTTATGTGGAAAACCTTTCTTTCAAAGTATGTAACTAAAAATTAAATTATTCTAGATGCATCAAGAAAGGCAGAAACCCAGCCAACGTCTCAGTCTGAAGTATCTTCAGCAGACATGTCTGCAAATAGTTCTGTGTCTGTACTCCAAAATGGAACACATACAGGAACAGATGAACCCAAAAATGAAACACAAACAGGAACAGATGCATCACAGGCAGCAACAAGTGGAACAGAGGCAGCAACAAGTGGAACAGAGGCAGCAACAAATGGAACACAGGCAGGGACAAATGGTACAAAGGCAGCAACAAGTGGAACACAAACAGCAACAAGTGGAACACAAGCCAGTACCAATGGAACACAGACCGGTAAAAATGGAACGCAGGCCAGTACCAATGAAACACAGACCGGTACAAATGGAACACAGGCCAGTACAAATGGAACCCAGGCAACAACAAATGGAACACAAACTGAAACAAATTCAACTGAGTCTGATAAAACAAATCAAACAGCAGGGGGAGGAGCACATGAACCGCAACCACCATCATCATCAGAGCCTCCACCTTTGTTGTCCATCTTCTTTGTTAATGATCTTCAGTATGACATTTTCCCTATACATCCAGAGAATGGAAGCTTCTGCACTACAGATCAAGGTAAGTACTCTTGCTTGTTTATTCAGTTACTTTTACAGGGACCAGTTGTCTCTACTCAGATATTTCATGGTTTTCCTCAGTTTGTTCAGTAAAGTACCAGGACAAGTCTTGCCATTTTGTCCAGCATCTCTTTAATTCAACAACCTTAATTTCATATTTCATTGGTAGCTTCATAACCTCAGCAGTTACAAAATATCCAAAAAAACAAATAGTATTCTGTTGTTTTACCATTTCATACCACCTGTTGGGGTTATGTATATATGTATTATGAGGGGGTGGGTTTCCAATGCACTTAGACCAGTTATTGGCCCATTGTGCATCCCCCTTTTTAATTTCTACTGTTGCGATACCCTACCGGTAACGGTGCGTGCCATCAGCCCCCGTAGAGCCAACGAGGTCGGCCCCCGGTACCTTGATGCTTCCCCCATCCACCAGAGGCATTGGAGACTACTTGGGCGGTAAAGGACCTGTAATTTAGCTCAGAGGTCTCCTAGAGACATGAGGTTCTTTTACGTGCCGTAAATTTACGACACGGGACACACGGCTTAAAGTCCCTCCCGGAGGACTTGTTCCCTGAATTTTTCCGCCCTTAAAAATTCCACGACCTCCGCCGGGTTTGAACCCGCATACCTTGAGTCATGAGGTGGGAACGTTACTCCTAGACTATGGAGGCCGCTACCTGTTGGGGTTATATTTAACTATTTACTCTTGGCTGTACAGTCCTGTAACAACCTTGGCATCCTTTGTGACAGATTCTCATTCTTCTCTGTTGTTTGCATTTTTCATCCATCTCTTCACTTGCATCTCTTGTAAATCATTCTCTGAATCTTTCAGCCATCTTAGTGTGGGCCTTCCTACATTTATCTTGTGACTCACATTAAAGAGTTTTCATAGCCAGTCTTGTTTGATCCATTCTGAACACATGCCTCAGCCGCTCTGGCCATCTCCTTTTGACATCCTCTACCAGATCAGAAGTTTTATATAATATCCCGTGTTCTTTTTCCAACATAGCCCAGTTAGGATAGCTATTGGGCTGTCAGCTGGACAGCCGAGGAATCAGAGTTTGATTTCTGGCAGGGGCAACAGATTTTTCTCTTCTCCATAGTGTCCAGACTGGCTATCCCATGGGTACCTATCCCTGGGGGTAAAGTGGCAGGGTCATAAAGCTGACCCATCACTTGCGTCTGGTGTCAAGGTCAAGAAGAAAAAGATAAAAAAGGTAAAGTTATCCCTGTAACAGACTGTGGGGCCAATAGGGTTGTGACACATCAAGGCTTTCACATTTTCTGGACAGTTGGCTCACAGATGATGGTGAGGCTGGCAGCCTTATGCACCAGCCGCTCTTTACCCCCAGTAAGATTCCTTGTACTCATTTCTGGTAGAGGCTGAGTTGACTTTGGGGCCACAGTATGGCTGGGAGGATTTAGTCAACTGAAAAATCCAGTGACATGGGGATTGAGCCCACGATGTTCAGCTTGTAGCATAGGACCTTAACCAATTATGCTACTGCATTCCCCAAGGTGAAGAATAACTGTCTCTGTACCTCCATTCCTCCATATCTATTTATAAAATTGTGCTTAATTACGTAATAAGTATAGAGAAAACTTTACTGTTACCTTACTTTCTCAGTTACTGGTCCATATACCTTCCTCATATTTTCTGTCTCCCTGATATTTAACATAAATCTGCGCTCTTCATGTTTCATATCCGTACATCAGAGTTGGTTTTAACACCGATATGTGTAGTTCGAGTACATTATATAAGATAAAGGGAACATAATATAAAGAATGTAACAGTGGATAGTCATTTGTGAGGTGAACTGAAAGTAGTGTGGCAGGAAGCAATTGTGCTTCATTTTGAGACTCTGTCCTGGTATTTGTTTGGAGGAACTAAGGAAAGCCACAAGTAACCTAAGCATATATGTGTTAGATGTCTCCTGAAAGCAAAACAAATTAGTTCAAATTTCCACCAAGATTCACATCTCAGAGATAGCTAGAGATGGTAAACAGAATGGTCTACCATCTGTACAGGGTTGTAAGAAGCAGGTGAAACATTGTTCACAGTGCATTAAGGGGAGGTTGTAAACTCTTTGTACAGTTCTTTCCCCCCCCCCCTAATACAGGTGTACTACTCTACACAACAATGCTCGACAGTTAACACCATTTTGCACATATGTAGTTGGAAGTTCTCAGTATCTGCTGTGTATTTTTTTTTACAATGTAAGCATTATTAATATTTCATTTGCCTAAAATGACTCTTTCCTTATATTTCTATAAGAATTAAAACGAAAATATGATGTTTTCCAGAAGGTCAGAACTGTGTGGGAGGGCTGCCTTCTCTGAAGTCGTACATGAATGATGCCTGCATCAATAATACACGGTGTTTATGGCTGAATGCTGGAAATACATTAGGAGGAGATTTTTTTAGAACACTGAAATTTGAGACAGCTCTGCACGCAATGCAGCTGTTGAACTTCAGTGCCACGGTAAGCTAGTGACCTAAGAAATAGAAAATCACAGGGGGAAGCAAAAATTATATAAGGAGAAGCATAATTATCTCTGCTGTAATATTGTTAACATGAATAATATCTCGTGAAGGAGGATGACCTTGGATTTAACGCAAAACACGAGTTTGTACAATTTTTTTTTTCAGGAAACCTCAAAGGACATAAGTTGTACAGATAATATTGAAATTGATCCTTGAGAAGTAAAGTGCAAAAGTGTGGATTGTATTCAACACACTCCAGATATGGGGCAGAAGGAGGCAAACATTTAGGTTCCCATAAACTTGGGAAATCTTTTGACCAGTTGCATATTTTCCAGGATGACTGTTTTGCCATTAAGTTAATGGACTGTTGGCCTTGTTACTAAAGCACATGTCTTCCATAACAGAGATCTGTGTTCAGTATCATGAAACTTTCTGCAGGCATTTTTCTGAAGAAGACCATGTAGTAAAAGTGCCTTAGAGCTATTCTTGTCAGTCAGTTTATAAATCACTGGCAAACAACAGAGATTACATTCCAAGTTAAGTGTTCTTATGGCCGAGCCATAGCTCAAACGGTTAGTCGCTGGCTTCCCACCATGGCGGCCCAGGTTCGATCCCGGGTCTGGTCAAGTTGGATTTGTGGTGGACAAAGTGACGCTGGGGCAGGTTTTTTCCAAGTACTTTGGTCTCCCCTGCCAATCTTCATTCCACAAGTTGCTCCACAATCACCCTCACCTATCATCTGGGGCTGGAACAATAAGCTAGAAGTGGTCACAATACAAGGGACTAAGTCCCACTCGATAGCACTAAGTGTTTTTAAGAATAAATACAACTGCAGATTCATAATGAGGCACAGGAAATGTCACTATCGCTTCTCGCCATCATGCCAGTTTTACTTTTTGTGATGCAACTGATTTCATAGACGGCCATGGCAGCCGAGTTATGCTATAATTTTGTGTGAAACAATTCTTCCAAAGCTTAAGTTATTTTCACCTTACGTGTAGTTAGTAAATCTATTTCTTCTAGAAAGAAAGCATTGCATGTATTCTGAACATCATGTTTTAGAAGAGGAAAACATTGAAATCTTTCACATACTTTTTTTTAAGATATCTTATTGTTGCCAATGAATGACACAGATATTTGCATTTAGGTGTGAATCACAAAAAGACAATATCAGAACCTGCCCTTCTTCTTTTAGGCAGTGGGGCCAAATGTACTGAAGTATGGAGGTGAAGCTGGTCGAAGCTATATCGATGCTCTTAACGAAACTGTTGTGGTATCTAATATTGAACCATCACCACCGCACAAGTCAATAACATTCCCTGTGGGAAGCTGCAATGTCTCTGTTATTGGCTATCTTGAGAACTCAGAATTGGTAAGTGCATGAGTTTGGTTCTTTTCTAGCAGAGTTGAGACAAGAACAGCTTGCTAGTTTGTCCCATGCAAAGCGAGGATGATGAATTTAGGATTCAGTATTGAACTGTTCATCCTCATAAGCATAATTTTGTGCCCTCATGCTATGATTGTGTTTATGCAGATTGTGAAGTATTGCATTCAGTGATTCTTCTGCAATCTGGAAATGATAGTATGATATACGTACATACTTCACTTACGCCTTAACTGCGCAGTTCTCTAAGAACATTAACCTCTTTTTAAGACATATCCCATTCTTCTCTGTTAATTGCTTTTTGCCTCAATCTCTTCATTTTAAATTCTTGTAAATCATTCTCTGTATCCCCCAGTTATCTTAATTTGAGCCATCCCACATTTTTCCAGTACCAGATTTGAGAGAATTGGCCAACAACTAACTGAATGTTGATATGAAGCAAAATAAAAATAATGGGATTGAAATGCCCTGTTTCTCTCTAAAGGCTAAAGAGGAGGTCTGTTTCCTGCCATCTTTCAGGCATAGCAACTTCATGTTGTTTTCTCAAATTATGATCTCACTGCAGAGTTAAGGGCACCAGTGTATTCGTTATCATTGTGGGTTGATAAGAAACTATGATTGTAATTGACTTGGGCAAACCATCTGCAGCTCCACAGATTTTGCAATAAAATATCTACACAGACTTTCAGGCCATAGTACTGACCTGGAATAGAACCATTGAGTAGTATCACAACTTCTCTTCCCTATAACACCACATTTCCCAGCTTGAGTCAGCCTTTCTTCATGAAGATGGAGGCAGTAGGTACTACCAAAGCATCGGTACATGTCTACAAAACTACACTGTATCAAGTTGCAAAATATCATGATGTGTACTTCTTCACTTTATGGATATATTGTTTTCAAATATTTGTTTCAGGATGCAGACATACATGGGGTGTCTGTAAAGAATTACACACAGAGCATAATCGGAGAAATTGAGAGAATTCACAAAGAACAGAATGCCTCGAACCTCATAACTGTTGTTATAGGTAAGTGCAGGTTTGTTATGATCCTAAATTCTCCGTTTCATTTGTTTCGTAATAGAGTACAATTGTTTACCAGGGCCTGGATTTTGATAACCTGAAAATATTTAAAAAAAATGACCTAAAATATAACCCAAAAATGTAATATGGAGGGCCCGGATTTTGATGACCTGAAAATATTAAAAAAATCACCCATAAAATGACCGAAAAAATACAGAAAAATTACCTAAAGGAGAAAAGAAAGAACACTTCACTTACATGTTATTCAAATTTCTGAAAATATATGAAGAGAAATTCCCTAAAATGGCCAAAAATGACAAGAATTACCCTTGAAAGTCCAAGAAATTACCTATAAAATTTACATTTCTGTAACCAGCAGCTCATATCCGAGATTTATATATTTAAGAGAATCACATAGGATACGAGGAAAAAAAGATGACATGTCATCAAGATCCGGGCCCTGTTTATTACCAAGTGTTGTGAAGGGAAAGGAAACTCACTGTCATTGCCGTCAAGATTAGAACAGCTGGTACTAAATAAGAAGAACCTGTATGATAAGCACATTATCACAGCCGCAGTGTATCTTTAGCGTCTCGTAGGTGCCTCAGATATGTACTCCTTCACCAGTGTTGATGTAGACAGAGATCATGACTGGAAGCATTAACCACAAGAACAAAATCAGTCTTCATGTTCTCATATTTATGAGTGACTACGGACGGGATTTAGATCGATAGTTGGGTTTACTGGATTCTTGCAGATCATAACTACAATTAATTATAGTGCTGTCTCTGATTCACACACTTTACAATTCACTATAGCACAGACAAATTCTTCTGTGTCTTCACTAGTCATATGTGCTGCCTGGTTCGGATCCCACAGCAGTGTAGATTCCTTAGCTTCTGTCCAACCCTCAACTCACTGGATTCCAGACTGGCAGCCATTTCGCACCAACCTCCTAGTCTTCTGTCTTGACATCCCAACTGTCAGCTGAGCACTCACTAAATGGATTACCCCAGTTGTCTCCCTTATAACTACTTTGCATGGACTGAACAGAAAACGCCGTTTCCAACAATACCTCTATTGTTGTAGAGTTTACTTCACCGTTACCTAGCAGTGGACGTCTCCCCTGGTTCCACTATTCGTGCCTTCATGCATCATGTCATAATATTAAGGTTTGAGTTGTGACACCAAGTAATCTGGTAAGTGGTTACCGCCACTTCAGAGGAACTTACTATCTCCATCTCTCAGTGTAGAAGCAGAAGACAGAGGCCATTATGTTCCTTTGAAATGGTGGTAACCAATTACCATACCACACCAGAAGACTATACACTTGGTCGTCGACTTACGACCACAAAAAAATGAAAAATAAAAGATGATTCATAATGTGTACAAGGTCCGTATAAAAAGTATCGGGAAAAATCTTTCCCTTACGTGACTGTACACCGCAGCATCCTCACACCGCGCAGGCGTGGTAGTGGGGGTCTAACCTTTAACACGCACCAAGTGCCATTCGCCTGAGCGCATTCGTAGAGGCCAGGCCGTGTTTTCTGTGGACCCCTGTTGAGTGAGTCGGTGCAAGCGCAGAATGCAGCGAACGATTGAACAGAGGTACGCCATCAAGTTTTGTGTTGGACTGGGGAAATCGGGTACGGAGACGTTGGGCATGATTCGCCAAGTGTTCAAGGATGAAAGCATGTCACAAACTGCAGTTTTTAAGTGGCACAAGCTCTTCAAAAGTGGCCGACAGAGTGTGGAGGATGAGCCCCGCGGTGGACGGCCGTCGACGTCAAGAACCGACGACAACGTGCAACGTGTGCGTGACGTACTCAATTCAGACCGTCGGTTAAGTGTGCGCATGATTGCAGATCGTGTTGGCATTGATAAGATGACGGTGCACACCATTATCACTGAAGATTTGGCGATGCGAATGGTCTGCGCGAAACTCGTCCCGAAGGTCTTGACGGACGACCAAAAGCAGAGACGAGTGGCTGCTTGCAAAGACCTTCTGCAACGCGTTGAGGAAGACCCCGGCTTTCTGGACAACGTCATCACGGAAGACGAAAGTTGGATATTCGAGTACGACCCGGAAACAAAGCGTCAAAGTTCCGAATGGCACACTTCGGCATCACCTCGTCCAAAAAAGGCGCGAATGAGCAAATCCAGAATGAAAACCATGCTCATCGTTTTCTTCGACGCCCAGGGGGTGGTCCACTACGAATTTGTACCTGAGGGGCAAACAGTGAATGGAGCTTTTTACCTGGAAGTGCTAAGAAGAATGAAGAGAAGGGTCAATCGGGTGAGGCCAGCCGTCGCCGGAAATTGGAAATTGCATCGTGACAGTACCCCAACCCCCCTACAGTCCCGACTTGGCACCAGCAGACTTTCTCCTGTTCCCGAAAGTGAAATCCTCCCTCAAAGGGCACCATCATGGGACCCTGAGTGCCGTCAAAGAGGCTTGCACGCGGACCCTTAAG